TCCTACGCTCTCGCTCAGCAGATGCCGTTTCTCCTCGCCGGCTGCCATCCTCCTCGGGGTTTGGGGTGACCGAGGTGGGTGACCCCCGGTGCGTGGCCGGTCCTTGGTGGCAGCCGGTGGCCTCGGCCCGTGCGAAACGCCGGGGATTCGTGTGCAAAGTCCGGCCGGGGGGGGGGGGGAGGGAAGGCCAAGCCGGCTGCAAAGCACCTGCGGCCGCCTGCCCTGGATTGGGCCCGGCACCCGGAGGGGCTGCTGATGGGATTACTCTAGGACCCCCCATGGGCACCCCGCTAGGAACCCATCAGGGCACGGATGCAGCCCCTGAGGCTGGGGGAGGATGGAGCATCCCCTTGTCCCCCCCTAAAGGCACACGGTGACCCCCCCTCCCTGCTCCGGGGCCCCCCAATTTAGATCCAGCGGTGAAGCAGCCATGTGACAGATAAGCCTGGGATCAGACACCCCCCCCACCGCCTCCGCCAGCAGTGACTCCTGCCCACCGCCCTGGGGGAGCAGCGCTAATTGCCCTGGGGCTAATTGCAATTGTGGCACAGCCCAGAGCACCACTGCGGGTGCTGCCTCAGTTTCCCCTTGGCCAGGCGCTGAGCCGGGCTTATATTTTTGCAGGAGAAAAGCACATGTGGTATATTTTTGCGCTCATGGTATATTTTTGCATCCATGGTATGTTTTTGCATCCATGGTATGTTTTTGCAGTCGTGTGAGCTCACCCGGCAGCAAACCGGCAGCTCGATGCCGAGGCCACCCCCGTTTTGGGGACTGGCACAGCTCAGAGCATCCTCCCTGTCCCCCATATCCCCAAGCCCGGGCAAGCACTGGCCCTGGGCACCCCATCACCAGGAGATAAATCCTGCCGGGTGCCAACCTGTTACATCCCAGGCAGGTGGCCAGGCACGGGGTGTGAGTGCTGCTGGAGGTGCTAATGAGGGTGAAAATTAAGTGTTGGACTGGGAAGCATCCCGCTGCCACACTGGGTGTTGGCAGGGACACCAGTGACGGCACCAGCGTGGCAAACCCACCTGCATCCCCAGTGCCCATTGCAGGGCTGGCAAGCCGAGAACAAGAGGCGAGGAAAAAAAACCACCCAAACCACCAGTTTTCTTTACAAAATACACAAAAAATTCAAATCCGTGACAATTATATACAAAACAAGAAAGATATAAAACGTGCGGAATTGTCCTCTTTGCACCCGTATAGAAAAGTGTCCCATGCTGGAGCAGGCGCCGGCTCGCAAGACCACCGGCCCCCGCAGCATGTCACCCCCGGTCCCGAGTCCCATCGCCGGACATCCTGCGCCCGCAGCGTTTCTCCTGCGCCGGCAACATCGCTGCGGCTACTGGGAAGCTGCCAAGGGGAGAGGATGAGGGGGTAGAAGGGGGTCCGAGCCCCCGAAGCTCCTCCATGGGTGCTTGAGGGTCCCAGGGAGGTGGGCTCAGCCGTGCCACCCCTTACCCTTCACCGTCCCCTCGGGCACCACATCTTCCTCCACCTCTTCTTCCTCCCCATCAAAGTACTCCTCGTCTTCCTCAGCTGAAAACAGGCGGTCAGATATCACCATGGGGCCACCGGGAAAGGCAACGGGTGCCACCAGGTCGGTGGGAGTTGGTAAAGGGGCACCGGGGGGTCGGGGGCTGAATTACCGGGCTCAAAGTCCAAGGCGCGGACCGCCTCGGTGAGGTGGTCCAGGCTCACCGAGAAGGCGTCCATGCTCTCGTAGCCGTGCTCGATCTTCTCCAGCCTGCCGCCCTTGGAGGCCTCCACGATCCTGGGCAGGGAGAGCACGGCCGTGTCCCCCCCATGTCCCCTCACCGGGCTGGGGGACCGCGGGGCTCCGGGGCAGGGGGTCGGGGAATCCTTCCCGCGCTCGCCCCTTGGGTGCTGCCGGCAAAGCCCCGCGGCCGAATCCTGCCCGGCCGCAGGACTGAGGATCCCCAAATTTTCCCCCAATTTGGGCACTTACGTTTTAATGAGCTGCTTGGCGTTCTGCGGAGAAAGAGAGGAGAGGTGAGTGAAGCCACGCGGCAGCCGCCGGGAAGTCCCCAAGCCGGTGGGACACCATGCGGTCACCAGCGGGGAGAGGGGGGGAGGTTTGGGGGTCTCACCATGAGGAAGGCAGCCCCCCCGGTCTCCTCCATGGCTTGGATGGCCGTCTCCACCAGTCGGCTTGATTTCTCCAGCTGCTCTTTGTACTGGCAGATGAGGCCCTGGACGAAGCCCGTCTTGTCGCTCTGCTCACGGGTTATGCGCTGCAGCAGCTCCGACTTCTTCTCCTCCAGCACCGCTGCCAAAGCATCGAAGCGAGCGCAGAGCTCCTGCTTGGCTGCCTCGCTGTTCTCCTGCGGGGGACGAGGGGCAAGGGATGCTACGCGTGTGTCCCTCGGCACCAGCAGCATCCCCGGAGCTTCCCTGCTCCGTGGGCTCCAGCTCCCTCCTGGCCGTCCCAAATGGCCCCCCCAGTTGAGGTTTCACCCCCGGGTTTCGGAGGGCTCCTTTTCGCCCTTTCCTCACCTCGGTGCACCGGCACGAGTCCTCCAGCTGGGAGATGATCGTCTGGATCCGGTCGTTCCCCGCCACCAGCATGGAGATGCAGTTGTTCAGCTCCGTCTGGGCAGGGGCGGATGGACAGAAACAGCTTGAACCAGCGGGGACGGGGACAGGGACATCTCCCATCCCAATGTGGGGATGGGCTGGGCATTGCCCGGCCCCAGCTCTGCTCCCCCCACGTCCCCCCCAAGCTATGGCCGCTCTAAATATAGGCTGTCTCCTGGGCAAAGTCACCCGAGGGGCTATTAATACCCTGTGAGCGGGTCCCAGTGCTATTTGTGGTGTCCCCAGCTCAGCACATCGCCCCGGGACCAGCTGTGTCCCCCGCGGCCCCCCCGTAACCCTGTGTCCCCCCCCCCCCTATGGCACCTTCTGGCCCTGGAAGACAGTTTGCAGCGGGGCGACCTCGCAGTCCTTGTGGGAACCGAAGACTTTGCACATGGAGCAGGTGGGGACCTCGCAGGTGACGCAGTAGATGTTGATCCGCTCGTCCTCGTGCTCCTTACACATGGGGTGCTCCCCCTTCTTCAGCGGCCTGCTGGAGAAAGCGGCACGGCCGCGGTGACGTCCCCGTCAGGGTGACATCCCCATCGGGGTGACGTCCCCGCTGCAGTGACATCCCTGCCGCGATGACGTCTCCCCACTGCGGTGACATCCCCACCGATGCTGCACAGTCACCCCAAAATCAGGTCCCCAGGAAAGAGGCCAGATCCTGGCATAACCCCACACTCGCTCTTTCGGGAGCCATGGACCTCTGTGCCTCCATAAGTCCCAAGCCCAGTAAGCCCCAGTTTAAACCAGCGCGGCACTGGGCACGGCAGCAGTCAGCACTGGTGGGTGGGGGGCCCCGGGGCTGCGTTCCAGGGACGCTGCGCAAGTGCCTAATTTTAGCTTTGGGCTGCTGGGATTTATTGTTGTCACCCAACGCGTGACCAGGGCGGGGGCACCCAGAAACCCCCCGGGGGGTCCCAGCCAGGGGCTGCGGCCAAATCGTCCCCTCTGCAGCAAGGGGGGGACGTGGGGACAAGCCAACCCACTGAAGCAAAGACAAGGCTGGCCCCCCCAAGCCCCCCCCGGCAGCCACAGACACCTGCCCCGTGCCATCGTCCCCATCCCCATGGCTCTCAAACAATATTTACAGCGGTTCAAGGAATTTGGCCGGGGCCACCGCGCTGCCTCGGGAACTTGTGACCCCTCTGTCCCCCCCCTCCCCAGCTGCACGCCTTTACTGAGTGGGCCCCCCCTCAAACTGTCCCTCTGCTCCTTATCAGCCAGCAGCGCCCACTGCCACGAGCAGAGCCCGGATTTGTCCCCCCACACCTCTTATCTCCCACCGAACCCTCCAGCTGCGGAGCGTGGAAGGGGCAGGACCTGTCCTGCTGCCACCACCCCCCACCCCCCAGGGACCCACCACCCCCCTGAGCCACCCAGAGACCCAAATTGCTCTGGAAAGGGAGACAAGATTTGGGTCAGGGGAGGAAGATTTGGATCGGGAACTACTGAGCCAGCAGAAAAGCCCCCCAATTTCTCACCCAGCTGCAATCTCCTGCGGTCTCAACGATGGTGCTGGGGCTCGGGAGGTGGCCATCCCCACGTCCCCGTGTCCCCATGGGGACAAGGCACAAGCAATCAGCCACGGTCGCCTGTGCCTACCTGCAGCACTCCTGCTTGTAAATGTCGATGATGTTCTCCACCAGCAGGTTCCTCTGCAGCCCATAGACACCATGACGGTCCAGCAGAACCTCGTGGCGGCACGACGGGCACCGGAACCGTCCCCCCGAAATCACGCTGCCCCGGCTCTGCCAGTACGGGTTGGCGGCCTGGGATGGGGGAAGATGAATATTTGAGCAACCCCACAGCTCCGTGAGCATTCCCAGAACACCATGAGTATCCCGGTGACTTCCAGCCCGAGCAGGGTGGGGGGAACGGGCGCGGGGACCCCCCCTCTCACCTGGAAGACGTCGTTGGCACACTTGCGGCAGAGGTTGTGCTGGCAGGGCAGGATCACCACCGGCTTGCTGAACATCTCCAGGCAGATGGGGCAGATAAGCTGCTTCTCCAGGCTCTCCATGGGATTGCCATCCCGCAGGATACCGGCTTGGAAATCCATCGGCACCACGGCACGTTCCTCTCACCCGCTCTCGGCTGCCGGCGGGACCCTCCGTCCCGCTATTTATAGGGCGCTTCCCGTCACGCGGAGCCAAATCCCAAAGCGGGGTCGGGTATCCGGGGAAGCAACAGCACCTGTCACAAGGGACTGAGCCATCAGGATGAGGCCGGCCGCGGTAAACAAGCTGGGGACAGGCTGTCCAGGAGGCCCTGCCCTCCCGTGCTGCGGCTACTGGCATGCCAAAACTGGAACTGGGGGGTAAACAGGGACAGGCTTTGACCCGGGGCCAAATTGTTGCACACCCTGGGGGTCAGCGTGGCCGGATCCTGGGGCTGGACCCCATAACGGCATCGGGGTGGGGACGGGGGGAGGGCAAAAACCAGCCCCACAGTCATTCAGATATTGTGACGGTGCCGGGAACGGGGCAGAACTGGGGCCAGTGGCACCGGGGGGGTGGCTTATACAGAGCATTTCCCTTCACACCCCCAAAATGTGACCATTTCTGGGGTGCAAACACGCACCTCGCCAGCGGCTGTGCTTGGAGGGGAGAGGCAGCACCAGGGAGATGCAGTCCCCAGGCCCGGCACATGCACCGGGGTCCCCCCTTTCCCTCCCTAGGCAGGGATTGGGGGGGCTCTACTGTACCCCCAGATGCAGACGTGCATGGCCGTGACCCAGCCGGCCCCCCCGCTCGGTTGCAAAATCTGACCCAGAAATGTCTGACGGGGGGGACGGGACGAGTGAACACGGCCCCTGGGGACCCGCGCTCGCCGGGGAAAACAGCCCCGGTGCACGGCGATAAACAGGGTGGCGTGCCAAATGCCAGCACCCGTCCACAGGGATATCTGTAAATATTGGCAGCCGGACCGGGAGAGAGGGGTAATTATAGCGCTGTCACCTATGGGTCATGCTGGCAGGGGGACAGGGTGGGTGGGATGGTGGGGGCTGCTGCACCCGCAGCGACTGCGGGCAGGAGGGCACGAGTGCTGGGGTGCACGAGTACATGGGCGCACAAGTGCATGGGTGCAGGGGTACATGGGTGCGCAAGTGGAGGGGTGCACGGGTACACAGGGTGCGGGGGTGCATGAGTGCACGAGTACGTGGGCGCACAAGTGCATGGGTGCACAAGCACATGGGTGCAGGGGTACGTGGGTACACAAGTGCATGGGTGCATGGGTACACAGGGTGCATGGGTACATGGGTGCACGTGTGCACAAGTCCAGGGGTACATGGGTGCGCAAGTGGAGGGGTGCATGGGTGCACAGGCCCCATTTTCACTGCAGCCAGCCCCCCCCAGGGCAGGGCAGCCCCGCAGCTGTTTCGGGTGCTCCTTCCGGGCAGGCTCGCATGTCAACCAAGTGACTGTGCTGGGACCGGCCAAGCACATCTTGCAAAATCATCCCGTTTCAGCACTTTGGGCTCTTCCAGGGAGGAGTTGGCGTGGAAGCAGGGCTGGCCGGGCACTCAGGAGGGCTGCGCGGGGGTCAGCTACCGACCGGAGCCAGAAGTGGGGTACCCACATGTGCACCCATGCCCACGAGCTGGCCCTGCTTGGGGGTGGCATTGATGAACTAATTGCTTCTGGACTCGATTAAGGGGATTCACGGGAATGGAGGGGTTGTAATGCCCTAATCAGCTTTCAAAACCCACAAGGGACTCGTTGGCTTCTAATTGGCTTGGGGCAGCTTAGGCATGGCCGTGGGGG